ATGTCTGTTCTGTGGGTAAAAAAGTTATGAGTTCTCTAAGGATCGATCTATTCCGCAGGCAGTGTTGCTTGGGGTTGTAATATTTCAAAAAAACTATTTTTTTTTAACTTATATAACCTAATATATTTGCCGTTGTGTATCAGGTCCTTTTCTGCTTTTTCAGGAAATTTATGACCCGCACAAAAGATGAATCTTTAACAAAATTGATTATATTTAACAAAACAATTTTTATAAACAAAACTTACCTGTTCCACGAGGGTTCCTAAGTTGGGAAACAACACACTAACTATGATTGACCATTTCATATTAGCTTTTATTTTTACCTACAGCGAACTTTCCCTACCTATTTCGTGGGGCTAAAAGGCTTCTCGCAGAACTTTGGCGGGGTTTTCTTGGTAGCTATTTGCGATATCGCCAAAACATCTTCCGTCTGGGTCCTTGACCTCTTAATGAATCCGTCTGAACTTTGCAGTGTCCCTCGGAGCTCTAATATGTTTTGATGAACGATCGCCGAGCGCTCGGAATATAGATACGCTTCTTTGTTTATTCAACACTAGTTCAAATAAAATTCGTTGCATTTTCTCATCACCACGGCGTTGAAACAGCACTATGGGGTTCTATGTTTACCTGTCATTGTCTTTTTTTTAACAAACCTTTCTTTTTGTTAAATGAAACTATTTTACGGATTTTATTGCGTTTTATTGTGATTTCAAATTCCCGACTTTTCGGACACTTTACATCGTTTATGATCAAAGGACAGACTGAGCTGTAATACCTTCTCGCTTGGCAATTTTTTAATTAAAAACATAAGGTCTGAGCCGTGCGGAGAGTATGACCTATTACATAACGACTAACTGTGGTAATAGTCTAATACACGAATATAATGATTTATTATTGAGGAAGCGTTATCATGTACTTTTATTGTTCTATAGATGCATACGAAATGAAGCCTTGACACTGTTCATTAATTCAATGGGCTGGCACCCATATGTTTGCATTCAACTTGCGTACGTCGCTAAACGATAGACAAAGACTTTTGTATACAAGAATACCCTCGAATCACGGCGATGTTTGATTAGTATTTGAAAGAAGAATCCGAAATGAAGTGATCGGGCTAAATTCGGCTTAATGTTTCTTAAGGCACCTTGGGCACTTTTAGTACGCTCAGATATAAGTACGCACTGTATTAATAATTTATTTTGTATGTTATAGAGGTACTCATCATTATTTTTCATGTAAAACAGCGAAATAAATCAGGATTTTATTTCTGTATTAATATGTTGATAAGATAAATTTCTAAAAATAATGCTTCTTAAAAATTCTTTTAATTCCAAACAATTTTTACAAGTTTGTTAAGCTTAGACGTTTTCACTTCTGACGTGCTGTCCTATTTGACTGACTGTTTTCTCATTATGGAAATTGTCTTGCTTTACGGTATGTGGTTATTCTCCTTAACACCGTTAGGAGCGTCACCGTCCTTAAAAGTAACGTAAAAGATTCTAACACTTTGACGACCCGATTGGCGTGGGGGGTAGTGAACCTGCCTCTTGCGCCAGAGGGTGTGGGTTTGATCCCCACTACTGGAAAAATATTGTATGAGGAACATAGTGCTATTCCAGTGTCTGGGTGTTTATATATGTATTTATTTACAAAAGAAAAGTATGTTTATCAGTTTTCTAGTACCCATAGTACGAGCGTTGCTTGTTTTGGCACTAGAGAACGTTGTGTAAAAATGTGTCCTAAAATATATATTTAATTATTTATTTACTTATTTTACGAAGGTGTGTGTGTGCGTTCCTCTGTCTAGGTGGTCTGTTTATGCGGCAATGCAAGCATTCTCGAGGCTCTATTACTGAAGTATAAAGTTGACAGTGGACTGTCGTGCACATACAACAAAGGGTTGACAAACAAACAATATAATGAAGTGGGGTATAATAGAGTTTCGGGGGATAGCGTACGGTAACAACTCTAAAGAGCTAATTAAGCGCAGGGCGTGATTGTGTAAAGTTTTCACAATGTTACAATGTTGTTTCTTATTTGTTGTTTGCATTCTTTTTTTTTTTTGTTATATTTAACTCAGTATGCTGCACCGACAAGAGCCTATCTCTTAAATTAAGGAGAAACGATATTTAATTCAAATTATTTCGTCCTGTTTCGGCATTTTCACGATGGTAATTTGTTACACTTGCGCACTCTAAACTTCGACAACGACGTGCAGTAAACAACACTTTCCGAATCGCTGCGCCGCCCGACGCGAACTGCTGACATCAATTCACCTGTTTTAATCATCAAGCTAGAAAATACTTGAAGCCGGAATAACATGTACACCCCAAATGCAATTGAAATATTTATGTATAAGGCACACGGTGTTAAAATAGATTCTCTTCTGGCGCGCGTCATGTGCGAAATTTTTATTACCGCCCATAACAAAAGCTCTCGATGCGTTACGTTTTCCGCAAGCGGAAATTCAATTTGCGTTAGCATTTCCAACGCGTCCTATTGGAATGGCGCTACCGATAAATAAGTCATAGGTATAATTGCTCTCGGTATGTGTATTTAAATTTTTCAATGCGCCCGTGATAACTTGTCTGTTTATCTATTAACTGTTTCGTTAAGGCATTTTTAAGCCATAGTTGCACAAACCTTACCGGCTGATCATGTTGTTGACTACTTTGAAAATTGAAACATTGATATGACACGAAAGAATGCTTTAGAAAAAAAAACACTAACTGTGGTAGGGCCACGTAACAGTCTTCGTCACGAATAGGCAGGTCCGTTTAGGTAAGTACCACGACTTCAAGATAGGCGTGGAGTGGAAGTGTTATACTTCTGCTTTTCGTCTGGTGAATGAGGTAGCCGGTGCCCACTTTATTATCAAGTCAATGGGCGGCGGTTTTCACTTAACATTAGGTGAACGGCTAGCTCGCTTGCCAACTACGCACATAAAAAAATGAAAACAAATAGTGCATTCTATGATATATATGAAGGTAATATTAAATTAACCTATGAAACACAACTGACTAAATTATATACCTGCACGGTACAGTTACCGGGCAAATGTATTGTTGATCGTCAGATAGTAAAAAATTGAAACACTAAATGAGAAAATTATATCATTATAATATTGATTTTATAATAACAGTCGTGTGATAAACTAAGGGAAAACGGCTATTACATTTGACATGTCAAAACTATTCTCCTGACAAATGTATTTAAAGTGGGAATATGAATATTTTATCACCTACAATTCTATTGATTCACTGTCATTATCAACAGGAGCATCGACGAGTGTTAGTGTATATTCATAGTCTATCGCCCGGTTTTTGAAACACTGATCATCGTAGATGTCAACTAATCAGCTGTCAAATGGCTTTTCAAAAATTTCATTTTAGTTGCCAACAGGATAGTTACACTCTTCGTATTGATCATTCTGATCATTAAGAAAATCATTCTGGTAAATTCAGAGAGAAGCCATCCTTTAACCATCCTTTTGGCAGTTAAAATGAAATTCTAAAAGCCATCAATAGTTGACAACTACAATGATCAGTGTTTCAGAAACCGGGCGTAAGATTATCTTTCGCTTACGTCGCCATATTGAAAACTTGGATAATTTCTTACGACGCGCCGCCCGTCACAATAAACATTTATTTGGGGAGCAATAACACGCATAGCACTGACGTAACCGAAATCTACTCACGTTCCGGGACCGATGGATAAATGTGAGAAACGCCGAGAAACGAGTTGTATTTAACTTGGTGCGGTAATCTGTTATTACGACGTATTTTCTTTTCTCTTCACGGTTCACGGACGCGTCCTAATCGATAAACTTCACGGTGGAATCATTTAATTTAATGTATTAGTATTCATATTTTGCTGCGCTTCGTTAAGTTTATCCTTTTATGATTATCCTTTGCCCACAGTGAAACCATCGGCGGAATCTGTAATTTGAAAAAATTTCGTCGCATTATATTCTTAAACCGACTGGCACTAACCAAGTTTGTCTTAATTTTATAAGGTTCTACCGCGGGGTAATTGTTTTCTTATTTTTCGTTGACAGTTCTTCATCCCAACCTTTCCCTTTTCATCCGGTGAGTGAGGTAGTCATTATCTTATATTTTGGCAAAGCATCTGTAACCCTACGGGGCTACGGGTGTTACAAATGTCAATGGCCGTCGGTTATCGCTTAACATTAGTAGACCGCCAGCTTGCGTGTAAAAGAAAAAAAAAAAAACACTTTTTTTGTTTTTATTGTCCTGTCTAATGCCCTACCGGAGCACCCGCCGATCCATCGATTGCAGTACCGAGCTATCGCTTCATTACCGTGCCATTTGTTTCCGATGCAAATATGCGGCGCGCCGGTCGCCCCCCGTCTATAGGGGTCATCGGGCGGCCCTCACTCTAATATAATGCAAATGTGTTGTCTTCCTCGTTTGGGAAATTTGCAATCGCTTTCTCTTACGAATTCTTTGTGATGTTTCGCACTTTAAATATTACTATCGGCTGCCATGTATAGACCGTTGGTTTGGCTCAACTTATGCGATAGCTTCCTTTAATATTAAAAAAGCGAGGGCAATAGATACCGAGAAACGCACGTTATTATAATTTAAGATGTTTTGTTTTTTATCAACTTATGTCTTATGTCTATTGTTTTGTTATATACGTCTGTTATAAAATTGTTACATTGATAAAACGATGACACAAAGTTATTTAATGATTTCATTTATTATAAATTTATTCACCTCTTATTTTCCATTTTTTTCAGATATTTTCATAACAAAGCACAAAATTGTTATATTCTACTATTGCAGTAGAACAAGAATAATCATAGATAGGTCTGTAAATGCGCCGGAAATTAACGTCAACGACCTTTTTCATTGCGATGTTTATACTCCGGAATATACATACATATGTACATATTAAGGTGCATCGCGAGCTACCTCCATAACGTTGGTTATTCGCGTAGAGCAAAGTGACCCTACGAAATCCACGTCGGTCGCAATATGGAAATTTCGCGATGCATGCACGCGATCGCGTTGTATGGACAGTGGCAACGGACGAGTTTTATGGCTTTGCATGCATGCATGCTCGGCGCGGGCAGGTGGGTCAGCGGCGTCGCCGCCCGGAATCGATGCCCCGGCGCCGTACCGCCGAGCGACTCTCCCCTCCCCCCCGCCCCCTCCCTTCCCCCCGTGCATGCCACATTAATTACTAGGGCGCACAGTCGCCCGCCTCGTGCACGTCCCCAGCATAGTTTCCACGCGACGCGACGTCACACGCGCGCCGACACAGCCGCGTCCTACTTTCGAGCGGCTGTTCTGTGGTCGAACCGCGAACGCGTTCTGCCCCGCGGTCTAGGCCGCCGATGTGGTCTTATTTTGTAATAACACGTATTCGTGTCGACCGAATCATATTATATCTGAACTATTTTGTTTTTTTATGGGAGAAAGTGGCAAGCGAGCTCGCGGTTCACCGGATTTTATGTGATAACCGCCGCCCATGGACATTAGCAACACCCGTAGTGTTGCAAATGTGGGCCCCGGCACACCCTACCACGCTCACCAGACGAAACGTAGAAGTGTATAACACTTCTACCTTACGCCAGTCTTCTGTGAGGTCGTGGTACTAAACCGGACGGACCTGCCCATTCGTGCAACAGTAAACACTATTGTGTGGCCTTACCACAGTTGTGTGACCCTACCACAGTTATTCACCCTATTCACACGGTTATGTTATTATATACACATCGATATACGCAAGTTGCTAAATTTTATTATGATATCATTGATGTACACATGGCGTCTAGGTGGCGCAGTTGCTTAGCCATTAGCCGAGGCGCCGCGGGTCTGAGGTTCGATCCCCACAGGGGATATCCAGTAGGGTGGCGGTAATTGTTTCGGACTTAGGTGTTTGTTCCCAAGGAGGGTTGACGTCAGGCAGGCGACAGGTCGTTACAAAAATCTAGCCAATACTATTGTGAACGTGATTCACGTTGTGGTGACTCCACTTAGGTGGGATAAGTTGATACAAATTATATGACAGCAAGATATTAAAAAGTAAAATAACAGCCTTTAAGTGTCCCACTGCTGGTCAAAGGCCTCCTCTGTACAGAGGGTATCTGGGCATAGTCCTCCACGCGCCCCCACTGCGGATTGGCGGATTTCACATATTTTCGAAAAAAAAATTTGTTTTTATTTTGAAAATGTGCAGGGTTCCTCACGATGTTTTCCTTCACCGCCGAGCACGTGATAAGTCAGCACTTAAAATTAACAATTTCATTGGTGCTGGCACCGGGGATCGAACTCAGGTTGCTCGAGTAAATTGAATTGAAGGCGAGCGCCCGGACACTCAGCTATCACGGCTCTCACTAAGCTATCAGCAAGATGTACATCACTCAACATTCAAGTACTAAATAAATCTACGTACAATGTCCAATTTGGATAACAACTTGATAAATGATCGAGTGTCTGTCTTAGAAAATGTTCTTTCTAACGAAACAGTAACCGACGTCCAGTATCTAATGCACAGTAAATTGTTCCGGCATTAGTCTTATCGGGCCCATTTGTCCGGTCAATGACACGGAAACTCCTTTCCCAATCATTTGCGTGTCCGTTCGTGCGGCGATCGTCGACCGACCGACCGCCTTTGTGAATGTGCGATGATGAATGAAACGGAAGAGATCATTTTACTTTTTACTAATATTATAAACGCGAAAGTTTGTATGTATGGATGGATGTTTGTTACTCTTTCACGCAAAAAATACTGAATGGATTTTAATGAAACATTACAATAATACATTACAATAATGCAGTTCAAACATCAGAATTATACATAGGCTATAATTTAAAGCTCAAAGTAACTCTATCTGTCTGTTACGCCTTCACAACTAAGCCGCAGAAACACTTTTAATGACTTTTGCTATAAAGATAGATAGGACCTTGCATATAGAAGAAAATAAGCTACTCGAAGTAATAACCCTGCGCAGACGAAGTCGCGGCCACCAGCTAGTAGTTTAATATGCTATGCGCCCGGGGTTGGATATGAGTGTACGTAGTTTCGTATTATTCCCGGCTTTCGATGATGTCAGAAAATTCGCATAAGCTATTTCGTGTGTCGTCAAACGTTACTCGTAATAATAACTTAGTTATTGGTTGCAAGGATTTTGTAATAGTATACTGTCTTTAATAAATGACATGTGTGTAGTGCAACCTGTGCTATCGTCCGTTTTATCATTCGATTTCTATATTAATATTATTTAACAATATTATACATATATTGACCTTGACTTTTCCTGTCTAAGGACACTGCTTACTAAATAAGATTGTATTATCTTACTGATGGCAAACTATTTATGGTTTAAAAACAAAACATATTACATAAACATACCTTAAAACATCTTGTGAATGTTGGGAAAGGAATCATCATTTACTTAGGTCTACTTACTAAATAAGATTGGGGAGGCGGAATTCGGTGTTGTAAAATAATTTGCTGTATGATCATTTTCGTCGATCGCTGGATTCATTTATTCTTGTAATTCAGACTGTCAACACGGTAGTTACAAAGATCAAATGGCATTATTTACTATTCGTCTTTGTACCAATCTCTTCTATATACTATAATGAACAGCAATGCTAGAGTAGGTAGAGGGATTCTTTGAACAGTCTTGCACTGTATAAACAGTCCCCCAGTTCGGTCCTTTTATTATTTGCAACGCGAAGTGATAAAATAATTGCGCTATGGACTATTGTCACAAAGGGGCGCACCGTTTCGCTGAATTTTCATAGAGCGGAAAAGCTAATGAAGTGCTTGTTATGTCTGCACGATGCAGTTTCTCGATTTTCCAATTTGAACTTTATCGCTAAATGGAAAATTTCCACTTTTATGTTATGATTATTTGATGTGACTGAAAGTCTCCGCCGTATATTGCATATTCAGCAATAAAAGTGTCGAAAGATGTTTTAGGGTTAAACCAATGTAATAAAAAAAAAATAACTTCTTTGTGATATTAAATGATTAAAAACAAAATTTCATTTACCTTAGGCATCAAGATATGTAAAGGTTATATCCACATATAAAGGTTTTTTCATTTTGACCTCATCTAATTATTCATTTAGTTTGATTAGAAAAACTTAAAGTAGACATTTAATATCCTTTCTATCAATTTAGGACCAGATACCATAAAAATGTTAGGGCCACGCAACAGTTTTCACGAATTTCACTATTGCACGAATGGGCAAGTACCACGACCTAACGGAAAACCGGCGTAAAGTAGAAATTTTACACTTCTGCGTTTATTTTTTTTTTTATTTTTAATTAATGGTGTCAACGCAGTTGAAACCTTACGGGTGTTGCGTAATGTTCATGGGCGGCGGTTATCAGTTAAAATCAGGTGTGAACCGCAAACTCGTTGGCACACTTTCTCACACAAAAAAAAGAGGACAATTCATAAACAAAAGATCAACGGTGCTGAGAAATTCGTCATTCGACGCCTATTTAACTTCATGTTATAAGCTCGTTGTTCATCTTTAAAAACGTCGTGAGCTTAATAAGTTATTCACACCAGGTGGGACGTAAGGGCGGTTAGGAAGCCAAACGGAATCGATGCCCCAGTGGGGCCGACGACCGCTGCCCCTTCGGCTCGCGTGCCGTTTTGATACCGCAACGAATACATTAGCGATTTCATTAGGTAAGGTTACACTAACCGAGTTTGCGTTGCGTCAACAAAGCTGTAGCGGCGACACGATCGATTTGAGCCCGATCGGCAAGCGTTACTCGAAATCTGTTTAGCGCAGTCATCCCTTAAATATTCCAATGACGGTATGGACTTATCTCTAATTTATAACATATTAGCGACGCGCCCCGGCTTCGCACGGGTGCAATGTTTTAAACATATAAACCTTTTTCTTGAATCACTCTATCTAGTAAAAAAAAAAACCGCATCAAGATCCTTTGCGTAGTTTTAAAGATCTAAGCATGACAGAAAACGGGGCGACTTTGTTAAACTATGTAGTGATTGTTATCACACGTGTTATATATTTTAACTGTGTTAGGGCACGAATGGGCAGGTTCGTCCGGGTAAGTACCACGACCTCTCAGAAGATCGGCGTGAAGTGGAAGTGTTATACTTCCGCGTTTCGTCTGGTGAGTAAGGTAGCCGGGGCCCACTTTTTTAAACTAACCCTACGGGTGTTGCAAATGGGCGGTGGTTAAAACTTATTAACATCAGATGAACCGCCAGCTCCTTGTCTTCTTCTCATATAACAAAAAAAAGTTAAGTTAAGTAACACCATGCCCTGACCACCACCAGAGGCTAATAACGCAAGTAGATTAGGTTTAACGTATAACTAGTTTACGCTAAAGTTTGTAGAAATGATCCACGCCGCGTCCTTTTTCGCCGCTGCGGGAATGGAACCCACGTCTTCCGGATTCGCACCCAAACCCAAACGCCACTAAGCTATACCGCTGGTTGCCACATCGAGGAAAATGTCAACGTATTTATCTTCATTGTTCTCGCGCTTATAAATGATTTCCTGGGTCATCTATAATCACAATTTAACAACACACAAACAAATTGAATTACCATTTACAACGATAATTGGATCGAGATTGCAGCTAATCTTTGCAGTTAAGATAAAACATTAAAATTTATAGTTTACGCGTTTTGCGAACAAGTTGGTAGTTTCGCTGGTGTGGACCCCTTTTCCTACTGGCCCTTTTTTAAACTATAAAGATACATTAAAACTCAACTAGAATACGTCATTTTGTAAAGAAATAGAAACACGCTTCTTAACCTTATACGATGCAGCGTATTAATGTAGTGAATAAATGACAGAAATATCATAACATTTTCCTTTTGCAATAAACCACGCTGATATTTTTTTAAAAGTTCCTAAAGTTTTTATCATAACAATGATGCTCATCTTTTTGTTAGAAACACCCCCAGGTATTTCGGTGAGATTTCTCATTATTTTAGTTACCGAGTCTAACGTACCTTTGTCTGGTTAATAATTTTTGTCTTCAATCGTTTGTTCGAGAGACGTTTCGTTTTCAGGTTTCTTAGAAATACACGTACCTCAGGCAACTTGTAGTTAATACCAAAAACTCAACGTCTTCGAGTCTATTATGAGATAATTACCTTTTATAACAACCGTTAAGACTAGTCAGCGCTTTAATAAGTAATGGGAAGAATTTAACTGACATGTTTACTATTCTCTAATATTTATGATTAGATGTATTAATATGTTGTAAGTTATATAGTTTTAGTGATCGGGCTGTGATTTGAGAGTGGCAGGTTTGAAATATAGTTGCGGAGCACCCAATAAGTTCTCCGAGTTTTTTAATAGACAAGTCAATTTTTTAACTAACGAAAAACAAAACTAAC